CTTGTTGATATTAATCGTTTTTCGTCGTTTAATAGACTCGTGAGAACTATTGCTTGGGTGCTGCGATTCACAAAGAGATGTCGTTGTGGCCGACGTGCTTGGCATGCTGAGCAGTGGGGTTTGATATCGGAAGAGCTGGACGCATCAAAAAAGCTTCTTTTTCGTCATTGCCAAGAAGAAGCATTCGCCCTCGAGCTCCAGAGTATCGCAGATGGCATCCCTATCTCACGAACCAGCGATCTATACCAGTTGTCGCCATACAAAGACGAAGACAATGTGCTGCGAGTTAATGGACGCATAGATGCTGCGAGTTGGTTGCCGTTTAGTACGAAACGTCCAGTTATATTGCCATCCAATCACGCTCTTACAAAATTGTTGGTACAACATCATCACGCTGTTCTTAAACACCAGAACACCGAAGCAACAATAAGTGAAATTCGCAGAACCTACTGGATTCCACGCCTACGTCAACTTCTCCGGAAGGTTATAGCCGATTGCCTCGTTTGTCGCATAAATAAAGCTGCACCAGTTACCCCACTTATGGGACCGCTGCCAGTGGATCGCCTTGAGCCCTTTGTGCGGCCATTTACATACACTGGCTTAGATTACTTCGGCCCTATCATGGTCACTATAGGACGCCGGCAAGAAAAGAGGTGGGGGGCGCTCTTCACTTGCTTGACGGTAAGAGCCGTCCACCTAGAGTTGGCTTACGACTTGAGTACGGATGCGTGTATCATCGCAATTCGAAATTTCATCAACCGGCGCGGCGTGCCAGTAAGGTTACGTTCGGACAACGGGAAGAATTTCGTCGGAGCAAACGAAGAGGCCAAGAAGTTTTCTGAGGTTTTCGACTGCGAAAGGGTACAGAATGAACTAGCGTCGAAGGGTATTCAATGGAGGTTTAACTGCCCTGTCAATCCATCAGAAGGAGGCGTATGGGAGAGAATGGTGCAGTGCGTAAAAAGAGTTTTACGACGAACGCTTAAGGAAGTTGCACCAAGGGAACACACCCTTCAATGTTTCCTCGTCGAAGCCGAGAACATCGTCAACTCGCGCCCGCTTACGCACCTACCCATCGCTCCAGACCAAGAAGAACCGCTTACTCCTAACCACTTCTTGCTCGGTTCGGCGAACACAGCACAAACACCAAGTGTCAACAAGGAACCCGAAAGGATGTGTTCGCTACGAAAGCAGTGGCGTATCGCTAGACAACTTCGCGACCACTTTTGGAAAAGGTGGATCCTTGAATACCTACCCACTTTAACGCGACGTGCCAAGTGGTGCCAGGGCACAAAACCAATCGAACTTGGTGACACAGTTTTTATATGCGACGCGAATGTTCCAAGGAGGCAATGGTGTCGTGGAATCATCGAGGCAGTCTACCCAGGAGCCGATGGAGTGATCAGGAAGGCAGATGTCCGTACCAGCAATGGAATCGTTAGACGCGCTGCATCCAAGCTAGCCGTTCTTAATTTAGAAAATAGTTAATCAGAGTGATTCACGGGGGGAGGGGTGTCGCGGAACGCCTATCAAATGCAACGCTGTTATTTCAAACCTTAAAATTGTTTATTAGTAAATGCGGCAACTCTTTATGTTTATTTGTGAACGTGGCAAGATTGTAAACCACGGTTCCATCTTCAGCGATTTGACGAATTCACTCGTTGCAAAAAAGCCGACAGAGACGGAACCGCGGTAAGAGCTAAATTTTGGTAATTTGTTAATCGTTAATGTAATTCCTTTATTATAGAAATAAACCATTTCATACTACTGCTTAATTCATCGCACATCTTTGGCGTAAATTTATAGAGTTTAATTCGTAGTCTCTAGCAACGAGCACAACCAGTAAACAACCTTGGGTGAATTTGGCGACTGCCCTCCTTGGGGATGAATATGCCAGGAATGAAATTATTGGTACACACGCCTTCAAAGCACGCAGAGTTGCTTTTGACAAACAAAAAATAATTAGCTCAAAATAGTTTCAAAAAAATATAGTGTAAAACAAAAATTATTAAATAATTCTACATTAAATTATATACGTAAATGACTCACT